AGATAGCCCTCGTGTAGCTTTGCGCGAAATTCCAAAACAAACAAACAAAAAACTTCTTGAGGCTTTTATTAGGATTATGTACCACCACCTGGGACTTCTGTTTCAAAACAACGTGTATAACAGACACACTGGACAACGGGGGTGGGGGTGATTCAGTCTAAGCATGACCGTTTTTATATGATAGAAGGAGATTAACCTACAACCACTCATTTTTACGATCATAGCCAAGAAACCACAGGAAGAAAGAGAAGTCCGATGTGACTTTAAGAATACTATTGGTTTCTACTTCTAAGATAATCTGACCGTTTTATCAGATGGCCACAAAGATTTGTAGAACATTCCAGTTACTTGCATATGCAAATCACACTGATTGTATCAGATGTTAACTGTTAGCTCTGTAAATGGTCATACATAGTCATATCGTGGTTAATTAACAAGACACTGTTTATGAGCGTAGGCCTACGATGGTTTTATTTTCTTGAATTTTTTGCATGTTCTACAGTAATTCCTGTACGCTGAATTCGAAAGTGATATCCATTTTGCTCCATCACGTACAGATTTTTCACAAAACGTCATATGCACTTTGGCATAAGTGCATCATTTTCATTGAAATCGGGTCGCATTTTGTTATGCTTAAAGTATTGACAACCACTGGCTATAGATTTCTCTAGACCAATCGCAACGTGAGAGTCTTATCGATCGTTCTAGAACCAACGAGAAACACACATAATAATAAAAAAGATATTCATTGTGGTAAAAGTAATAATAATTTGATCTAAGTAAGAATTTTTTTTCTTCCCGATTTGTAAAAAAATCCTTACGTGATAGAAAAAAAATGAATATTGTTTTCGAACTATGCGTAGCTGAACTATAGAAAATCCGTTATTAAAACCAAAACAACTTTTCTGAAGTTTTAAATTTGCAGCCCTGTGTTATTATTGAATGTCCATCTAGCAGAAAGATCCTGATCAAATACCGCTTTTTTGACAAACAGTTCAAATTAATTTGTCATCAGAGACTGTCAAATAAATCAAAATAGAATAAGTTTTCCACTATTGAAAATTATGGTAGCCACTCGCTGGTGACTGAATATGGAAAAAGATAATATTAGTTATCTAAAGCAATCTAATATGTTTTAAATAATAATAATACCTATGTAAAATCTAATGTCAATGTTGACTATTTTCATAAAAGAAAAGCAAAACAAAGAATCGGTATTTTTTGTACCTTTATTTTTAATTTCATACTTGCTATATCCTTAAAACACAAATAGAAAACCATACTGTAAAAGTCGTGACTCTGTGGCTACTTAGCACTTGATATTTTACTTGATTTATTTAATAAAAGTAAACTAAAAACATATGCAATTTTACTTTTAAGTGAAAACAATTCTTTTTTTCTTCTCAGTTTTTCCGCTGTTAAGAATGGCCTGATTTAAAATTAAAGAGGAGAAAGGTTTTAAAGAACACACTTGTCAATTGTTTTTAGTTCTATGCTTCCGACAAAATTTTAAGTAAAAGAATTTAGTTTAAACTGATTTCGTTCTTAGGTTTGGGTAAGACTCTAATCTGAACAAAGATGTTTTCTGTAAATAACAATGTTTTAAGTGTTATTTCAAGTTGCAAAGTTTTTGCAAAGCATGAGTTTCACAAAGCAAAGGCTCAAATAAAATATTACTAATTTCTTAGAAAGTGATGTTTATAATTAAATAATGATTTATCAGACAAGATTTTTTTTTCATGCAAGGAAATGCTAGCAATCGCTCAAACTTCAGGAGATCATATGATGATTGAAAGAAGCCGAATAACACACGAAGAGGATATCTATCGGGAAGATGTAGTCCAAGTGGAAAAAGACTTGTCGTAAGTTATTTCGGTGTTAATCGCATAACTAAGTGTTGTTCCTTATAAATAAGCATGTTTATAAAAATTGTATATGGAAGAATATCTTTTGACGAGTTGTGTATGCATGTTCATACCATCATGTGTTTTATTTGTTTGTTGTTGTCGTTTTTATTAATTAAAGACTGTACTGTTAACATCTTGACGAAAATTATTGCAATAAATAAACTGATGTTCACATCGGAATTGCCAGAGAGAAAAAAAAAAGCGCCCTAAAACTCTATTTAAATAGAAAAAGTCTCCCACCCACTTTTGGCAGCAGGAGTTTCACTGTTTTTCTCAAATGGTTGTCAAGCTGCGGCAATGATGTTTATATTTCACACGGAAATGAAATTGTTCTTTCGCTGCTTGAAAGTTATATTATTCTAAAAATTTGAAATGTGTGGTCCTAAATATAAAGTAGTTGAATTGTGCCCAGTTTTTTTCCCTAAATTTTCTGTAGTAATATTTGAGTGTTTTAAAATTGTTAATCGCATCTCACAACACTAGCTAGGAGAGAGTTAACTGTCGCAATAAATGATTTCCAAAAGAATAAACCTTCATGAAAGAACACACAAATGATTCTCAGAATGTAATCACATTCAGGAGACAACACACGAATGATTCACAGTATGTAATCACCTTCATGAGAGAACACATGAATGATTCTAAGTATGTAATCACCTTCATGAGAGAACACATGAATGATTTTAAGTATGTAATCACCTTCATCAGAGAACACACGAATGATTCTCAATATGTAATCACTGCCTTCAATAGAAAGCCCGGCATGGCCACGTGGTTAAGGCACTCGACTCGCAATCTGAGGGTCGCGGGTTCGAATCCCTGTCACACTAAACAAGCTCGCCCTTTCAG